TCCAAGGGTTTCAAACCCTGCTTTGATTGGACAAAAATCAGCAATTTTACGACGAAAATACAAGTGTACCTATCTTCACTGTCCAGCACTGTAGTCGATGAGTCGGGTGATTGTGACGAATCCTTCATGTACGATAACAAGTCAAATTGCAATGCCGGGGTTGCTGAGGACAGCGAACCAACAATTGAGCACGACCCCGACGACCCCGACAATGATGAGTACTGGGTAGACAACGACGCCCATGACCCTGGCCGCCTTGCAGCACAAACGACGAGCCCGATGGCTGACATCAACGTGCACGGACCCGGCGGCTCTAACGATGCGGCAGGCAAAGGGCCTGGGACCACCAGCGACCATGCCCCGCCCGCCAAAAAGGACATTGTCGCACGCTTTCAACGCAACGCCCACAGCGCTGCTTCCTCGCTGCCTTCTCGTCACTTCACCGCAACGGAAAAGCGACTCACACCACGGAAGGACTTCTCGTGAATCTACATGGACGTGCAAAGTCACCTCGAAGGCGAGAAATTCGAGTACAAAAAAGAAAGCGATAGGCTCACCCAATCTGCATCAGCAGTTAGGGAATTGCAAGCTGCGAAAGCGTCCACGATCGCAAATTTAGTACAATCGGGGTTGGTAGATGTTGACAAAATCCGTGAACTTGTTGTAATTGCATTTCCAGTCGACTAATTGTGATAAAAAACAAAGATCACAACGACTTGTCATTTTTCGTAAATCCTAAATATTGAAGCAGCTCGGACTTTAGGTTTTCGCGCATGATCAGACAATTATCTTGTGGGATGGCGTCGCTGACTTGACTGGGACGTGGAGTTTCACAGTACAAGGGCACACTGTCTTCACCATTACGGAGGCGGTTTACGATATTGTGCAGAACGCAGCAGGCCAAAATCCAGTGGCACACAAACTGGACGTCGCGCTCGTTGCGGATGTCGACAGGCAGGAGGGCAAGGCTCGACCAACGTCCTTTCAACAGGCCGTTCCCATCGAAGTTCAAGAAGTTGTCGTAAATCGTTCTTTGTAGAAACTGATAAACGGGGATTGCATGTAACAATTGCTCGCACCATGGCGTCCAAGTCTGCCAAGATGGCTGATTTCTCAGAGCGCCGTGGCATTTTGCACAATGCAATCTAACGTACGGATACGGGTGAACTGAAATCGGTTGGTCTTGTTGACTCCCCTACGATTTTCGTTTCATAGTGGCCACCTTTGGTTTCGATTTTCGGAAAACTTGAAAATCAAAATCAGACCAAAAATTCCCAAATTGACTCTCCCTACTGATTTCCACCCGACTTTTAAACGGGCCAAAGTCTATAATTTTTATGAATTTATAATATCGAATGTCGAGGTGAA